GACACTGATCGCACAAGTCTGGTATCTAAGTCAGACACTGATCGCACAAGTCTGGTATCCAAGTCCGACACTGATCGCACAAGTCTGGCATCCAAGTCAGACACTGATCGCACAAGCCTGGTATCTGAGTCAGACACTGATCGCCCAAGTCTGGTATCTAAGTTAGACACTGATCGCACAAGTCTGGTATCCAAGTCCGACACTGATCGCACAAGTCTGGCATCCAAGTCAGACACTGATCACGCAAGTCTGGTATCTAAGTCAGACACTGATCGCCCAAGTCTGGTATCTAAGTTAGACACTGATCGCCCAAATCTGGTATCTAAGTCAGACACTGATAGCACAAGTTTGGAATCTAAGTCCGACACTGATCGCACAAGTCTGGCATCCCAGTCAGACACTGGTCGCACAAGTCTGGCATCCCAGTCAGACACTGCTCTCACAAGTCTGGTATCTAAGTCAGAAACTGATCACACAAGTCTGGTATCTAAGTCGGACACTGTTCACACTACGCTGTTGGTAGGAAGATTGAATTTATAATTTGTCGTTTTATCTCTATTGGGATCCCTGGATGTTTCAAAATTGTGGTCAGTTGAAACTTGATATTATTGGCTTATCCTTTTTTCCCTCCTAACCATATTATTCGTTGCCCCTGTAGCAGCTGAGGCGGCGTCAGTAATAATATTAGCAGTGGCATCAGCAGCGGTAGCAGCAGCAGCGGAAGTAGTAGTATTTGTAGTATTAGTAGTAGTTGTAGTTGTTGTTTTTGAGGTGAAAGTCTAGTAATTGTCAGAAAACTTCTCTTTGCAGACGATGCCTCTTACAAAGCCCTCTTGGGCTTGACAAAATTTTTCTTGTCTGCCCTTATTCTCTGACACCGATTTTGAAGTGTGATGCGTGTGCGTGCGTGGATGCATATATACGTGCTTGCTTGCATTCTCTCTCTCTCTCTCTTTCTCTCTCTCTCTCTCTCTCTCTCTCTCTCTCTTCTCTCTCTCTCTCTCTCTCTCTCTCTCTCTCTCTCTCTCTCTCTCTCTCATGCATGACTGGATTTCTGACTGTATGTGTGTATGGCTGTACTACGCATGTATGTATTAATGTATGTATGTATGTATGCCTGTATGTTTGTATCTATGTATGTATGTATGTTTGTGTGTACGTATGCCTGTGTGTATGTGTGTATGCATGTTTGTTTATATGTATCTGTGTATGTATGTATGGAATGTATGCATGCATGTTTGTGTGTGTAAGTGAGTGGGTGAGCGTGTGTATGCGGGTGTATGTATGCACGCGCGGGGTTTTGCATGCACTTTACAACTCATGCTTTTTTGTTCTTTTATAATATTCATAATATGCATAACATCATATGATCATAACATGCTTTATTAGTAAAATACAACTGCTGTGCGAAAGATGGTTGACTGGAAGGGCCGAATGTAAGACAGGCCTGCGTGCCCAATTTGTGACCCTTTGAAAATCAAGTTCGTTCGTTCGTTCTCTATGTTAGAAATAGAGCACATTTCGCCAAGATGTATTACTACTACTACGGTTTACTGCAGTAGGAATGTGCACATTGCAGTGCTGATTTGAATATTTTGATGCTTTTTATAATGTTTATTTACTATTACTTGATGTGTGAATGAAATGATGTATGAAAGCAGGAGAATCGAAGGGCACAATGATAGACGGACCTGAGTGCCCAATTCTCACCCTTGGAAAATAAAGTTCGTTCGTTCGTTCTCCCTCTTTCTCCCTCTCTCTCTCTCTCTCTCTCTCTCTCTCTCTCTCTCTCTCTCTCTCTCTCTCTCTCTCTCTCTTTCTCTGTGTGAGTGTTTGTGTGTGTGTGTGTGTGTGTGTGTGGGGGGGGGGGCGAGCGAGCACGAGCAAGAATGGGTAAACTTTCTTTGGATCACGAATCGTATTCGGCCAATTTTATTTTTTTTATTTGGTTGGTCACATGGTGAAGTGTATTTAATTAGTGCGTGGATTTTCATAGTTGTCGACCGAACCTGAAACGACTAAATGTTCCATCTACTATCTCGGCACTAGCGGTGCCGGCCTGCAAGATTTCCTCTAGCACCCCCTCCCCCCTCCCCCCCCCTTTCCCCACCCCCCGAGCCGATTAATCTGCATCCACATGCACAGTGTCACTTACATGTGGATTTGTTTAGTGAACCACTTGTGCCTAACCTGCACATTGCTCCACCACTTGTACCTAACCTGCACATTGCTCCATCACTTGTGCTTAACCTGCACATTGCTCAACCACTTGTACCTAACCTGCACATTGCTCAACCACTTGTACCTAACCTGCACATTGCTCCACCACTTGTACCTAACCTGCACATTGCTCCACCACTTGTACCTAACCTGCACATTGCTCAACCACTTGTACCTAACCTGCACATTGCTCAACCACTTGTACCTAACCTGCACATTGCTCAACCACTTGTACCTAACCTGCACATTGCTCCACCACTTGTACCTAACCTGCACATTGCTCAACCACTTGTACCTAACCTGCACATTGCTCAACCACTTGTGCCTAACCTGCACATTGCTCCATCACTTGTGCCTAACCTGCACATTGCTCCATCACTTGTGCCTAACCTGCACATTGCTCCATCACTTGTGCCTAACCTGCACATTGCTCCACCACTTGTGCTTAACCTGCACATTGCTCCATCACTTGTGCCTAACCTGCACATTGCTCCATCACTTGTGCCTAACCTGCACATTGCTCAACCACTTGTGCCTAACCTGCACATTGCTCCATCACTTGTACCTAACCTGCACATTGCTCCATCACTTGTGCCTAAACTGCACATTGCTCAACCACTTGTGCCTAACCTGCACATTGCTCCACCACTTGTGCCTAACCTGCACATTGCTCCACCACTTGTGCTTAACCTGCACATTGCTCCACCACTTGTGCTTAACCTGCACATTGCTCCACCACTTGTGCCTAACCTGCACATTGCTCCATCACTTGTGCCTAACCTGCACATTGCTCCACCACTTGTGCTTAACCTGCACATTGCTCAACCACTTGTGCTTAACCTGCACATTGCTCAACCACTTGTGCTTAACCTGCACATTGCTCAACCACTTGTGCCTAACCTGCACATTGCTCCATCACTTGTACCTAACCTGCACATTGCTCCATCACTTGTACCTAACCTGCACATTGCTCCATCACTTGTACCTAACCTGCACATTGCTCAACCAATAAAAGTAAAAGATCCTTTCCCAGGTCCCTGGACGTCGTGTGTTTAAAACCTTAGACCTGTATTCTATGGATCAATCGGCTCTCGGTTCTTGATGTGGGCTACTTTACTTCCCTTGACTGTGCCTTTTAAACCGGGTTGACATTAGAAACAAGGCTAATTTTGAAACCCGAATCTATGCAGAATTGAACCAACGACTTTTTGCCGCAGAGGTGTGCAGCTAGATTCTGCGCCTCGGCGGCTCCAGCTCAGCCCAGTAAATTGCATAACTGCTGGCTGATGATGACACGATTTACTGGAAGTGTAGAGTGGGAAGATACCTGACAAAAGAAGTGCAATCAAACGTGTCGGTTATACAATTATCATAGAAAAACATTCATTAATAGCTTTATTTCGCATTGCAGGTTTGTGGCAAACTTCACCGTGGTAGTTGATCTGAAGGGTCACGTGAAGGGTCAAGTGAAGGGTCAAGTGAAGGGTCAGACATCATGAAGTCCGAGAGTACCGACAACATGAACGGGACAGCGCCCAGACCTGTCCTGGTCATGCCTGGGCAGGGAACACAGGTGAGAATCTTCTACCAGGACTCAGATAAATCTCTCATCACTTTGCGTGTGTGTGTGCGTGTGTGTGTGTGTGTATATACGTGTGTGTGATATACATGCGTGCGTGTGTGTGTGCGCGCGCGTGTTTGCGTGCGTGCGTGTGAGTGTGCGTGCGTGTGTGTGTGCGTGCGTGTGTGTGTGTGTACTTGCGAGCGTGCGTGTCGGTGTGTGTGTGTGTGTGCGTGTGTGTATGCGTGCGTGTGTGTGTGTATACATGCGAGCGTGCGTGTCGGTGTGTGTGTGTGTGTGCGTGTGTGAAATGACGACTCGATTCACTAATACAGAAGGGATTGCGAATTGAGAAATGACAATACAGGTAACGATGTTCTATTTACCACTTAGTGTGTATGCGGGGGGGGGGGGGGGTAAGCCTAAGAATATGAAGCAGCACAGCTAACGCAGTCGCCACGGACCATTCAGGTTGGATTTCATTTCTGCCCCTCAGCTACACAACTCTACCATGGATTCGAACTTGGGTCTCCGAAATGAAATCCTAGGGGTTCTGGGTAGCCCGGCCAAACTCTCCTCAAGGTCACGAGTGACTACACGAGAGCGAGATTTGAGATCAAGACAAAGGGGATCTCTAGTTTTAGTTGCACAAGTTTGTAACACTTGATGGGCAATATGTTCGGTTCCACTTCAGTTGCCTTTATTTGTGATGACATCTCCAGGTTTTCGTTTGAGGCTGAGTTTGACCTGATAGCCTGTGTCTGTTTTTAAAACTTGACTTAGACTGAGACTCCCTTGACTGTATTTAGATGACTATGTATTTAGACTTGTATGTATTTGGTTGATTACTGGCCAAGAGAAACACCGGTTGAAGCCAAATTTTACTGGTCGCTTAGCGAATTACAAATGACAGAAGATGCGACTGATGACAGATGTAACAAATCAAACACTCTCGGTGCGCAAGTGTCACTAAGAGGACCTGAATGTTTGACGTCAGACAACAAAATTCAATGCTGGTAGCAGACCAACAACACAAGCCCAGAGACCGTTCAACTTCCAAGAAGTTATAACGTAGAGCACATATAACGGTCACATCAATGCGGGTGGCAGCGGCAGCAGGGATATGGTTGTCTGCTTCTTTTGATGTATTATTGTAACTATATCAAATTCTGTTTAAAGAAATTTTTGGAAACGACGAGATTACTTTCTTTCTGTCTTCATGTTTCAGGTGGTGATCTCCCGAGCACCGTTTACCCAAGCCGCCTTTGACGAACTTCATCTTCGAAACAAGGGAGAGAATGAGGTCAGCGTGTTGCGGAAAATGAAGGAGAAATGTTTCTGCTCCAAGAAACGATGCTGGAGACTACTGTCAGGTTACGTCCCTTTGATCAAGTTTGTCAGGTACTACAAGTGGAAGGAATACACGGTTTCGGACATTTTTGCTGGACTCTCCATAGGGACCATTCATCTACCGCAAGCTCTGGCTTTTGGCTTGCTAGCCTCAGCCAAAGTTGAGAACGGTCTCTTCGCCTCACTCTGGCCTGCTCTGGTCTACATTATTTTCGGTACCTCTCCCCATATCTCCATGGGAACCAGTGCGGTGATTTGCCTGCTTACAGCATCTGCCATAGACAAACAAGGACAAGCATGGGCTGCAAACCAAGAGGATATCCAAATACAGGTCCGGAACGGGACTATCATTGACACAATCCCAGAGTACCTGGACTTCAAAGAACAGATTGCTATGGGCCTCTCGTTAATCGTCGGAATCATCCTTGTTGTCATGGGCGTTCTGCGGCTGGGGTTCATCACTGCCTACCTTTCTGATTCCTTCTTCGCGGCGTTTACATCAGCGGCTGCTGTTCACATTGGCACTACCCAACTGCCTCCCATGTTAGGCATCACAGTTCCACGATTCCCCGGCGTCTTCAAACTCATCTACACCTACGAGGCCATTTTCAAAGTCATCCAGAAAGCAAATTTTGCGGCAATAATTATCGCCATTATTTGTATTGCCCTCATCTGGTTTGTGAAAGACTTTGTCAATGAACGATATAAACAGAAACTATTCGCGCCAATTCCCATAGAACTGTTTATTGTTATTTTTGGCACCATCGCCTCATACTTTGGCAACTTTCAGAAAAAGTTTGGTGTTCCTGTTGTTGGGAACATTCCTTTAGGCATTCCAGTACCGACAGTGCCCACTGTGGGCCTGTCTCTGGCGTCTAATTACATCGGGGATGCAATCATTATGGCCATTTTAATCTTCGCCTATACAATCGCAATCGCGAAGATTTGTGCCAAGAAGCATAACTACGAAGTTGACGACAGCCAAGAAATGATCTCTTACGGGATTTGCAACTTAGCCACCTCTTTCCTCAGATGTATCCCATCATGCGTGTCGCCTCCCAGAGCTATGGTTGCTAGCAGCATGAACGCTAGGACAACCTTGTGTGGCATCTTCAGCTGTATCCTCATGATTTTGGTGATCATGATCGTAGCCTCGCTGTTCAAAGAACTGCCCAAAGCTGTGCTGGGCGCTATCATCTTCATCTCCTTAAAGAGTCTCTTTATTCAGATTGCAGACTGTTATAAATACTGGCGTGTCAATAAATTTGATTGTCTTATTTGGACATGCACTTTCTTCTGTACAGTTTTCATTGACATTGATATGGGTCTCTACATCGGTGTTGGTGTTTCTGCTCTTACGGTCGTCTTCCAGACCCAGTTCGCTAAAGGCTACAAGCTCGGGTACACCAAAAAGGACACCGCTTTGGTAGAGCATAAACAATACAAGGACTCATCAGAGATTCCGGGAATCAAAGTGTTCCGGTTCAAATCCAACTTATACTACGCTAATGCTGAAATTTTCCGTAACTCCCTTTACCGGAAAACTGTCAACCCCAGGAAGTTGTTGAAAGGATTGAAGAAAAGAGAGAAGCGACTGCAGAAACTAAACGAGGAGAGAATGGCACAAGGACTTCCTCCACAGGAGGATAACAATTTCATTATGACCGGCCAAGGGGAGAAAAGCTCAAATAACATCTCCTATCCTAACTTCACCTTGCTACCTGCAGATTCTGTGGAATCTGTGTACCCAATGTCTATCCTAAAGTCAAGTCTACAAAATGGCAGACATGACTTGCATTCGTCGCCAGAGTTGACCAGTCTGGACACTGAAACTGACCTCAAGCCAGGCATGAATGGGCTTAAGAGGGTGCAGTTGTCTGTCGTAGAGAAACCATTGTTTACAATCGACGGAAGTGACATCAACGTGGCTAACAACGCTTACTTGTCCAGGATGACCCCTGTCATGAGAAAACGAGATGCTGATAGCTTAAGCAGACTGAAGACCAGTGAGTCTGTCGTGTCTCTGTACTCTATTGACTTTGACGATTACGAGGAAGACCCAGAGGACGGGGAGGAGCTGTTCACGGACGAAAAACTCCGACAGATGCGCAAGATTCATCATGTCATCGTCGACTGCTCACCCATCAACTACATCGATGCTTCAGGAACTAACGTGCTCACCCACATCTTCTCCGAATACAGCCACGTCAGCATCAAACTCTACCTGGCTGGTTGCTCGGCCGTCATCAGAAGTACCATGAGAAAAGCGGGAGTCTTCGACAAGATCCCAGAGAGCCACTTCTTCCTGGACGTACACGACGCTGTCAGCTACGCCAAACCACAACGACCAGAACCCATCCGTCCGGAGAACATGGAGGACTTCACCGATGCCGAAGCTATTGAAAACTCTCGAGCTGTGAATGGATGAAGCAAAACGACTAAGATCGTATAGGACTATTTCATATATCACATGGTCCAATATGATTTTATCGTAGATATTGTTGCGATTTATTATAGAGTATGCGATCAGTTTAACGTTGAGTCTCTTGTGACAATATATGTAGTCGATGGCAAATTTATGATAATGTCTGCAGTAAGTGTATTATAGACTCCGTGATATATTTATCATACACTCTGCTGAAGGTTTATTGTATACTCTATGCTATCCTTATCTTTATTTGGTACATTTTACATAGAAACCACGACATATTTATCATACAGACTACCGAACGTTCATCACAGTCTCGGCAGTAAGTTTATCATTGTATTTATAAAAATATTGTAGAATCTGGTGTGTATTAGCTCTACAATGTTTGGTCCGTTTATTAAAAAAAAAAAATCTGCGATACGATTATCGGGAAATCTGCGATACGATTATCGGGAAATCTGGGACAAATTTCTCCTACACTTTTTGTTCTTAATCATAGAATCTATCACATCTTTATCATAGAGCGATGTGACACTCTCTGGTGGTTAAGTCATGTTTACATGCATGTACATATTTCTTGAGGCTTTTTTTTAAACGACCCTGACTCACAAAAGCCAGCCTATAAAAGAGTGAAGGCAATGGTCTGGGAGGACAGATGACAGGCGTCATATTGACTTCTTTTACCCATCGTGTGCCATCAGACTAATTACAATAATGTGTGTGTTGCGCGCGCGCATGTGTGTGTGTGTATATGTGTGTGTAACAAGGTCGTGGATTCAAATCGAATTATTTTCTTGGAAAAATGGCTATGACTTCTAGATCGACGCAGCCTTAAACTGTTGCCAGGTACAGTCCTGGGATGTAAATGTTAAAGCCAACAATATATTATTCTGATAGTGATGATGTACTCATTTGAAACATGCCGCTTGTACACTTTGAATAAGTGATTTTTCAGATACAATTTTCTCAAAAGATATTGAATATTATTAACGGCGGCTAGAAACCTTAGTAGAGTCAATTAAAAGAGTAGACAAACACCAAACGTTTCAACAAAAGTCTTTATCAACAGGGAACAAACTTCACCACAAACTGTGACTGCAAAACACTTGTTCATCACTTCAGTCAATAAACAGGGAATATTTTTCTAGATGTGTCTAAAATACCTCGATTCGGTAGACACTTAAATAAATTATCCATGTAAGTGCCATGTAAATCTCAGTCAACATTTACGTTGGCACTCTTTACTTCCCAGGAAATTTCCTAGTACCCATTTTATGGAAATCGTCTTAGGTAACCAGGACAGTTTTATTTTTGATTTTTGTGCTGAAGAGGATTCGAACACATGACCACCAGACTCGCAGTCAAGAAGGCTAGCTGCTCAGTGATGAGACCCTCAATGTTTTGAAATAATCCGTCAACTGCTGTGTATAATAAAACAGCCACATGTACACACTGTTGTACAGGTAATTCATGTGTACAATAAAACAGCGACATGTACACACTGTTGTACAATTTATTATTATGAACTTGTCATCAGCTATTCCTTTGGCTGTATGTTATCCTCGCATTGTTACTGTAAATAGTTTTACTTATTGTTCTACGTGCACTTGTCTAACAGTGTTGATATTTTTGTATAGTTTGTGATCTGGGTTCAGATTCACCATTGTTATTGAATAAACCGGATCTTTTATCGTTACATTCATTGATTAGAATTGTTGATTGGCCTAGGTGTCCATTTCCTCGTCGCTGGCGGTGTCTTGGCCAGACATTTTGGTCTGTAACTGTTGTCTTTGAGGTGTTTTGTATGTCCGGTATTCATAGTCCTTCTTAGCATACACTTTTACTATGCTTTTATTTCTTTTCCCTTCTTTTTGTTTATTTTTTCCTTTGGGTAATTTTGATGTCCCTGTTTTGTTTACAATATTTTAATTGTGAGCTAAATTGTTTACTAAGTATTTATAATAAAAATTTATATTTACGATTTAGTAAAATAGTTAGATACGAGGACTCTTGTTTCAAAAATGACCTTGGCTCCTGGGTCAACCCAGCCTTAAATTGATACAGGGAGTCCTGGGAAGAGAAAGCGGCCGGCTTGATGTTTGCCACATCACCTACAGGTTCCGAATTTAGGTCTAGCCCTATATGCCCAATACGCCTGAAGGGTCCTTTACTTACTTATTTACACTGTCAAGAAAGAATGTCTTATGTGCTATAGTGTTTAGATTGAAAACGTCCTATGTTTTGTAGTATCTACTAAGAATGTTCCATTCGATAGTTATAAGAATATCTCATGTGATATTTCCAACAGCTCGTGTAAGCTCTGTACAATCATCTGTGACAGGTGTACATTATTGCCCAATTTAATCATGTATTCTTGGTAGTTTCATAACAATTGAATAATTCATGACTAATGCAATGCTCTTATCTATGAGTATAACATTTTGTTTGCATATACCTTTATGTTGCTCATACTTTTATTTTCACAGATTTATTTCATACACATGCATGTGAATAATTTATTTGGCATATTTGTGACTTAGGTGCCCGAACGTTCTTCAAAGTTTGTTACACAATAAAAGATTGCACACAATTATTACACCTTTGTTATTTTGTGAATACCATGAATGTCGTTCTTTCTGACCTGCCAACATCCAACATTATGCCTGAGTCTAACACGTCTGAGTCCAACATTATGTCTTAGTCCAACATTATGTCTTAGTCCAACATGTCAGTGTCCAACATTATGTCTGAGTCCAACATTATGTCTGAGTCCAACATGTCAGAGTCCAACATTATGTCTGAGTCCAACATTATGTCTTAGTCCAACATTTATGTCTGAGTCCAAAATGTCCAATATGTCTAAGTTCAACAGGTCTGAGTCCAACATGTCAAAGTCCATCATGTCTGAGTCCAACATGTCTGAGTCCAACATGTCAAAGTCCAACATGTCAAAGTCCAACAATTCAAAGTCCAACATGTCAAAGACCAACATGTCTGAGTCCAACATGTCTGAGTCCAATATGTCTGAGTCCAAATTTTGTATGAGTCCAACATGAAAGTTTTGTCTTCACAAGATCTTTATTCTAGATTTTTACATTGCCTAAATTCTCTTCATGTTGGATTTCATGGTGTTAGGGTTTAAATACCTCATCCAACCATATATGTTATTTTATGGTTCATCTTCTTCTTATTTTTCTTCTTCTTCTTCTTCTTCTTCTTCTTCTTCTTCTTCTTTTTCTTCTCTTTCTTCTTCTTCTTCTTCTTTTTCTTCTTTTTCTTCTCTTTCTTCCTCTTCTTCTTCTTCTTCTTCTTCTTCTTCTTCTTCTTCTTCTTCTTCTTCTTCTTCTTTTTCTTCTCTTTCTTCTTCTTCTCCTTCTTCTTCTTTTTCTTCTTCTTCTTCTTCTTCTTCTTCTTCTTCTTCTTCTTCTTCTTCTTCTTCTTCTTCTTCTTCTTCTTCTTCTTCTTTTTCTTCTTCGCAACACTGCTCTTCCATGTCCGAATCAACAAGGTCCTAGTGAAGTGAGAACTAGCGAAGCGTCCTGGCGGACATAATACGATTGTCCTCCCATATGATTTTAAGATAGTGTCCTTTTATTAGTAATTAAATCCAAATGTCATTCTCTACAACTAAGTATTTGTTGCGTTTCCGTCGTCTTAATACGTAAGATTAGTAAACAGCCATTCCTGAAGCTCGGTCAGTCGAAACGGGCTTCAACCTTGTTACAGACCAGGACAGTGAATGGCTTTATGCTAAAGTTGCCACAGTGACAAGTTATGTGGCGGGCGGTGCATATAATAACTCGTAAAACAGCACTGACCTCACTGTGCTAACCCAAGCGCATCTACGCCTCTGACCGACACATCCAGAAGAAGCCACTTCTCGGTCAATTCAAAGTCACACACGGTAAACAAAGATGGTTAGCTCCGTGGCCCAATAATCTATTTTTTGTCGTGCCCACTCAAACAGGCTTTTTTGCCAGGGGAGATTTTATTATTGAGCTTAACCATGCAACCAATCACGGTTCCCTTAGAGGGAAAACAGCTAATGATTGGTTGACCATAGTGTCTAGGCCAGCAACAGCCTGCACAAGTCTCCTAATTTGACAGCTTAAAAACTCTAGTATGGATTAAACTTTTACGTGAACGAGTTCACGGTCACGGATATTGTCATTACTATCAGTATCATCAAAAATTACACAAACTTTATAAAATCGCACATCTGTCTTGTTGGGAGTCGCCGTGGCAGACGCGCGCCACGGTTTGGAAAGTCATAAGGACTTTTTTCAAAAGTGACCTTGGCTCCCATGTCGACCCAGCCTTGAGTGGGTACTGGGTGCAGTCCAGGGAAGTAGAGGCGTCTATACGCCCAAAGGCGTGGAAAAGGGTGCTTTTCTTTACATCTGTCTTGTTATTCTTTTTTTCTTCTTCCTATAGACCATGCCATGTAGCGTTTGTAGTTATGTCTATCAACAACCTTCTGTGTCGTGTACTTCCAATCACTTCCAAATGTTAATCTATCTTAACAGTTTAATTAAACATGTAAGAACAGACATTTGGAATTTAACAAACTATGTAGTTTAAAACTTGACATACAGCTTTATTTACTACAATGAAATTCCCAGTTTGTTGATTTACACAAACAGTGACTGGTTAACTTGATGATGGTGGTAAGCTTCAGCGAGAAAAACAGCTCGGGGGTTAGAGTGGTATGATAATGATGATAATAGGTTAACATAAAGGGGTTAACTCAACTTATAAGCCTCTGACAGCCGTGAGGAACTGTCAAGCTTGTCCAACTCTTCCTTGCCTGTTGTCTGCCTGTTTCAGCTTATTCTCCACTTCATCCCCACCTCGTTCTCCACCTCGTTCTCCACCTCGTTCTCCACCTCGTTCTCCAGCTGGCCGAGTCTAACACAATGTAGTCTCTTTCATGGACTGATCGTCACATGGGCGCTGTAATCATGGAAACAAAACACATACGTGTAGTATCTTGACTTACA